AAAGCATAAGTTGACTGTACTTATAGGCTACTGTGGAAAGGTAAAATGAAGCTGGATCAGTTTTGTGAAAGTGCGCGGACTATGGGTATTTGGAAACTACCTTCTTATTTTACATGGTCCAAAGCCCAGATTGCCAGAGTACAGGAGACTGGGCTCCAACACTTGGATCAGTTTATGGACATTGGGGGAGTACCAGGCCCCTTAAAAAATGAGAGGAATACCCTAATAGTTTTCAGTCCCAATCGCTATATTTCTATGTACTGGATTTGGGCTTCACTGTGCCACCGTACATTTTACAATTCCAACTTCACATTCCATGTATATACTCAAAACAGAAGACCCACCCCACGTAGTACCGGAAAAAAAAAAAAAGACCCACCCACGTAATTTCCTCAGCCAGAATTTGATTTTACTATTGTTCTTCGGGAAAATTGATAAAAAAATCCCTATTTTAAATTTTTAATTGGTCAGAAGGATATGAAATTATACAAGTGCAAATATGATTTGTGAGTGCAACATACTATCCGCTGCATGCAACATATCATTCACTATATGCAATTTGCATACAACGGATAATATGTTGTACTCACGGATCATACTTGTACTTGTACAAATCAAGTCTTTCTGACCAATTAAAATTTCAAACAGGGATTTTTTTACTAATTTCCCTTGTTCTTCAGTAGAAAAAAGATCTTCATCGTTCGAAGCTTTAGGGTTCTAAAGTATTATTTCTGGATCTTTTTTTTTAAAATTACATTTAATGGTTGCATTGACTTTGGGGGGGGGGTTTTTGGGTGTTTGGACCGGATGTGGAATGTGGAATCCGGTGGGTTGTCCCCGTCTTTTTTTTTTTGTCAGCATTCCAATGGTCATCAGAGCTAGGGGTGTTCACGGGACGGATCGGGACCGGGACAGGCCCGTCCCGGTTCCGTCCCGGTGAACAGTAACGGGACAGATTTCTGTCCCGTGTCCCGGCCCGTCCCGGGGTTGTCCCGGTCCCGGTCGGGACGGGATGGATCCGGGACGGGACCGGGACGTCCCGAAATTATTATTTTTTAATTTTTTTTAATTTTTTTAAAAAAATATGATTTTTTTAATTAATTTTTTTGAGCTTAAATCTTATAAAATATTTTTTTATTTGTTGGGCACTCTTAAACAAAAGCTCAAAATATTACATATAATAGTTATTAAAAACTCTAAACAAAAGCTTTTAACACAATAAAAACTTGCTAAAAATTCTAATCATCAATAATCTCAAATCATTAACAAATATAAAAACTTTAAATAAATATATCCATAGTTCCATACAATAGTCTCAAATCTAAAAAAAAATATGAAAAAAATAATATATATAAAAAATAAAAAAATTATTTTTTTTTTTAAAAAAAGGAACCGGGACGGGACGACCTCGTCCCGTGTCCCGTCCCGTCCCGGTCCCTTTTTTGTCCCGTCTCGATTTGTCCCTTCCCGAAAAATTTCGGGATGGATCCGTCCCGTCCCAATAAGACCGGGACCGAAACGGGCCGACCTGGACGGCCGGCCTTGAACACCCCTAATCAGAGCAACACGCCACTGCCTAACAAGCGGAGAAGCCCACCGGATAACTTTTTAAAAAAAGTCCGCATGGGAATAAAATGCATTTATTTTTATATTATTATTTGATATCTGCTAAATCACCATCATAAGAAAAAGTATAGTTGAATTGACGTACAAGTATTTTATGATATTCAAACATTAAACCTTGCTTCGTAAGAATCCAGTTCTTTGGATCCAGCTTTGAAAATAATGCGAAACCAACCTTACTTCAGGCTCCACCACAAGGTTCAAGCATTGTAGGAAACCAACGGCTACACCAAAAAGAAAACAAAATTAAAGTTCATTTCTCTTGTTTTTTTGAAAGCAGAACAACAGGCCCCAGCTGCTGGAAACTCATTCAAACCAGCTGCTTCTTCTCCTTCTTCATGAATCATCATCGTTTTACTTTTTCACCGCCCTTATCTAAGTCTCTTTTGCGCGCGCACTCCTTATCTATAAAAATATTGATCCTCCTTCATCAGCTTCTACAACGGAATAATATCACATCTCTGCTTCACAAATTTGAATGGCTTCACTGATACTGCTATTTTCGGAACTCGTTGGGAATCATGAGTGGGATTCTGCAGCTCTCATGGCTTCTTATTTCCCCTCTCCTCGCCATTCCTCATCAACTTCTTCGCCTCCAGCTGCTGCAACTCAGTCCTCTGCTGCCACCCAATCCTTAAACCATCAGATCGACCAGAACAAGAGCCACGCCACTGAAGAGGTTGTCGGGGAAAATCCTTTGGAGACAAGGGTCTGTGTTGATTTTGTTTGGCCTTAAACTATGTGCTTCCGTCGCTGTCTTGTATATATTCTCACTGATTCTCACTTTGTAAGTCATGAATATGGATCACAGATTCGCTCTTCGTTTCCATCCAGAACATGAGTTCAAACCCCAATCTTATTGTTCGCAATTTTCCATAGTCATAGCATACTTCAGTTATGGTAAATTCAACACAAAATGTTGCCTGCATTCAATTTGAAACGAGATCTTATGAATGATGAGCCCAATGAATCAAAATTTCGAACAGGATTAAGCCAAGTGAGGTCAAACGTTAGATTAAGAACCATGATTTGTCCTCATCTGCGAGAGATGGCGAATAGGATGATCTCAAAATATTCCCTATTCGAACCCTCAACAAAGAAACAACGGTTATCTTGTTTTACCCGAAGAACTGCTATTACTATATAAGATCTTGCTGGGTAAAGTGCATGCAAAGACAAATAATATGACAGGTTGAAATAAACACCATTGCATAGTATCGCCCTCACCACAACGAAAAGGATATTATTATTGCACATTGTACCTGAGAGCGACCGTGGTCGTAAACGGTAAAACATATATAATAGTTTTAAAATTTTAGATGGAAATGTATAAAAGACGATGTGTGGAATGGTGATTCATTGGGAAAACCTTCATATATGGGTATTCCATTTTAATCAATACGTCATGGAAACTACCTTAAACATTGTTGCGTTGACTTTGCTTCAGTAATAAATTCTCGTCTGTCGAGTGGAGTGCCATCAACTTCTGTTCATTTCGAAGACTGCACAATTTGTGACTCTTCAGGGGTCTCATCTATATATCCTAACCCTTTCAAAAAGATGGAGGGGGAAATTGTATGCTTGCCTCTTGCTACCGGAATGGGGATCAATACCTTCATTCTTAATTAAAAGAATAATACTCCCTCCAATTTTTTTTAGACAATTGTTTCTGAATATGTGTGTGTGTGAACACACTTCCTTCTATGACGTGTTGTCGAGGTAAAAGGCTATTTTATATAAATAACGATAATAGCTATGCACGTTAAATTGGTGGATTCGAAAACAGGCAACAGATTTATTGGGGGTATCGTTGCATTCCATAGGAAGTTGCCAACCAAATTAGAGAAGCGACATTTGAAAATGACTTTTTATGGGATTCTTGCGTTTTTCAGCATCGCACAAAGACACACTATCACCCTGCCAAAGAGTTACTCTTCAAGGTTACTTCAGACAATTCCACACTTTTTATGGCTATGCTACTCTGTAATTTAACTCTCGTGAAGTGCAAGCAAGTACAAGTTAAAACCTTGGAACTTAACTTTTTTGTCATATCTTTTCATGTCAATTCAGAAAACTAACAGAATCAAAAGTGGTGACTCATGAATTCTGGAATGTGCAATTCACTAATTCCCTCTTTCGTGCTATAAATAAAAAGAAAAACCAAGACTTTTTTTCTTTTGACAATTTATTCAACTCCTCACAATCGAATTATCATAACTTATGCCAGTCTCTCGTATACGATATTGTGGTGGATGACTGAGACATGCACAGTGAAATTCCTTTCATACTGTTGAAGAAACTCATACTTAGAAGGCAATTGAACTGATCAAACTTTACTATAAGTGAAGGAAGGAAATGGTCTTCTGGCGTCGTGTTGAGATAGTTTCAATCAATTTGATTTTCTGGCTGGTCCGTCTAACTTGGCAAAGTAATAGACAAAAGCAACTCCATCAATTAAGCAGAAAAGCAACTTCAAAATAGTCTTAGCGTGTGTGCGCGCGCTGTCACTATAGCTGGCCTGGTCAAAGAATGTACCACCAAGCCTCTCTGCCTTGGTATATTAAACGCAAATGTTTCTTGTGGCTCGTAACGGAATGTTTTCCCAAATGGCCAAATCCGGACATTTTTGTGTTAATTCACACGCACGAATAGAAAAGAGCATCTTAGCTGCATATAGATTTTTTATGCTTGTGGATGGCTCCATTAGCTTATATTATAATACCATCGAAAACAATGTTTCCTAGAAGCCAAACCAGCATCGAACAGCAAATATGGCGTTTTAGGGGTAAAATATTATGAACCTTTAGACAACAGCGAAAGTGATGGGTAGCGTCTGGTAACACCAAGATTGGGTTTTGAACCTTTAAACTAAACGGTATGTTTTAGAGGAATACAGTTCAGACGCTGAATAGAACAAGTCACATTGTTTTCTACACCACCACTTGGCACGCTCTTAGATAGTGCCGGCACCTCTGGCTTCCTTAAAATTTATACCATCCAGGCATTCTCTATTCAGTGTTCTCTTCCTACAAGCTTCTCTTCGCCATTTCATGGCTTTTGTTTCCAAACCCACCAATATTAACTTGGTTTAACCATTATTGAAGCAAAGAATTGATCAGAAATATGGACAGGCTCATAAGATTAGACCCATCGAACATCGTTCCCATCAGAGTTGAAGCAGGGCAGAAATGCGTTGGCCATATCACATTACGCAATGTTATGTACACCATGCCAGTGGCCTTTAGGCTTCAACCACTGATCAAGACTCGTTACACAGTGAAGCCTCAGTCTGGAATTATATCCCCTTTGGCCACACTTACACTGGAGATTGTATATCATCTTCCACCTGGAGCGACCCTCCCTCACTCTTATCCTCACTCCGATGATTCTTTCCTTCTGCACAGTGTGGTGGTTCCTGGTGCAGCAATTAAAGAGCCTTCCTCTATGTTTGATTCCGTTCCAAACGACTGGTTCACCACTAAGAAGAAGCAGGTCTTTATAGACAGTGGCATCAAGATCATGTTTGTGGGTTCGCCAATTTTAGCCCAACTCGTTGCAGATGGTTCCATGGATGATATCAGAGACGCCCTTGAACGAAGCGACACGTCATGGAAGGCTCCGGACTCGAGGGACTCACAAGGTCAGAGTTTGCTTCACTTGGCTATTTCACAGAGCAGACCGGACCTTGTTCAATTACTCCTCGAATTCAAGCCCGATATAGAAGCTCCCAATCGCGCTGGTTCAACCCCACTTGAGGCTGCATCTTCCTCCGGTGAGTCCTTAATAGCTGAGCTTCTATTAGCTCACAAGGCCAATACTGAGCGATCAGAATCATCCGTTTGGGGGCCAATTCACCATGCAGCTAAAGGAGGACACTTGGAGGTCCTGAGGCTTCTTTTGCTGAAAGGGGCTAACGTAGACTCTCGGGCAAAGGATGGTAGCACAGCTTTGCACCTCGCAGTTGAAGAAAGAAGACGAGATTGCGCTAGACTTCTGTTGGCTAACGGTGCCAGAACCGACGTTCGCAACACCGGAGACGGCCACACACCTTTACACATAGCCGCATCCACCGGCGACGAGAACATGGTCAAGCTATTGCTACAAAAGGGTGCGAATAAGGAAGTGAGAAATGGGTTGGGGAAAACCGCGTACGACGTCGCCGCCGAGAATGGACATAGTCGTCTCTTCGATGCGCTTAAATTAGGGGACGATCTCTGCGTGGCGGCGAGAAAAGGGGAGGTGAGAACCATACAGAGGCTGATCGAGAACGGAGCATCCATTAATGGGAGGGACCAACACGGCTGGACGGCGCTTCACAGAGCCGCCTTCAAAGGACGAACAGATGCGGTTCGGGCTCTCCTAGAGAAAGGGGTGGATGTGGATGCTAAGGACGAGGATGGGTATACGGCGTTGCATTGCGCGGCGGAGTCAGGTCATGCCGATGTGACCGAGCTATTGGTGAAGAAAGGAGGAGATGTCGAAGCGAGGACCAATAAGGGTGTGACCGCGTTGCAAATAGCGGAGTCGCTGCACTATGTGGGGATCACAAGGATACTCGTTAACGGCGGGGCTAGCAGGGAGAACAACAGTCAGATTCCAGCACGGCCAGCCAATATTCCGTTTGGTAAACAAATGGAGGGTGGGGAGAAAAAGAAGAAGATAGTCAGAAACAGAGGGCTTCGGGCCAGCTTCGATCGCTCGGCTGCTCTAGCCGTGATGTAGGCAGGGTCCCTGTCTCTTCTATGTTTACAACTTTACATTTTGGGATGCCCCGTTTCGTGGTTGATTTTAGGCTTATAATTTGTGGATGGAATTGTAGATTAATGATATATGTTGCTTCTAGACTTCTGACAATACATAAAAGTTGTTTGATCACGTTCATGGCCAATGTTCATTGAGATTTAAGAAGGCGAGTTTCATGTTGGTGATGAAACAGGCCTTATCACAGAAAACTTCAGCTGTCACCCGCTGCTCTGAATTCAGGTTGCTGAAAACCAAAAACTTAAGCCAAGTATCATGAAAAACTTGACATGTAGATGCAACTGATGTGTTACTGAATGTATTCAGAAGCACTTTTGGTTTTGCAGCAAAAGTAAATAGCCTCAACCGTACTGTCTCAACAAACATGTTTCCAGTAAACGTAGCTGCAGGCATCCAGTCGTGGCCTTATGGGCACTTTTCAAGATACAAAACCTAAAGTTAGAGCAAACCAGCAATGTTCAGGGATGTTTATTAAAGTAGTAACATATTATATATAGATATTTAATAATTAGTGGGAAAGCCAATGTAATTTTCACGTGGGAAAATCATGATGGCTTTTGTATTAGACTATAGTTCATGGCCAGTCTGTTTGTGTAGGAAACTTTTTAAAGAGAGACCCTAATTAATTTACACATGATGGAGTTGGTGGGAGAACCATATAAGAGATATATATATATATATATATGGGGATTATTAATTTAGAAATGATCTATTTTTAACTTATTTTAATGAATTAAAACCACCTTCTTCCCCTCTTATTAAACAAACTGGGCACGTGTATTCCTAGGTGAGCAGGGGCTGTGGATATTTTTTGGGCTGATGGGCTTTCATCCAAGAACGTGGCCCAAATAATGGGAAGAGAGAATGGCATATTGCCGGAAAAGAGACAGACGGTAAAAGTACATACAATTGTTTTGCGGGTGGTAAGAAATGCAGGTTTGGTAAGTGAAGCTGGAACGGTGGATGAGGACAGGCAGGGGGTTGGTTAGCTTAGCGTGTAATGAGACGAAATGGTTGAAATAGTAAAGCCTCAGCATCAATGGTTGGTATTTTGGATTATACTGATCCATCACCAACCCCAGAATTGGGTCTTAGTCAAATATGTCTTGCGGCTGGCTGCAAGTCACTATACTTGTAATCTTCGCCTACTCACGTCTTTTTTAATATCCCGCCACCATCTTTACCTACTCACCTTCATATACATGGGATATATGTGTGGAATGAAGTTCATCACACGAGTTGAGTGACCCCAGCACGCTTTTGATACGGGCACCCAGAACAATATTTGAGTGATGGTGTTCAATATTTTAAACGTATTTGTTGTGTGTGGTCAATAAGTGGGTAAATAGTAGTACTCCTCCGGTTCTTAATATAAGACCCATTTAACTAATTTGATTAGGTTAAGAAAATTAGATAAGTTAGTTAATTATAAGAAATGTAACATGTTTTTCCTAAAATACCGTAATTATCTTTCTTAAAATGAGAGAATATCCATAGAAGTAATTTAGAGAAAATTGATAAATATGAAAAACGAATCTTATATTTAGGACCAAAACTAACTCAATAATTGAGTCTTATATTAAGGATCGGAGGAATAATATGAAATAGAACGCTGAAGGGGCAACATAATTGGAACAAGGGAGGAAGGAATAAGTCAAGGTCTGGTGAGCGAGACGCTGAGGATTACGGGCTGGAAACATTTGTTTATGCCAACGGTTCCGGATACTCAACGCAGGTAACCCGTCGTTGTACACGTCAGCGATCGAGGTCGTGTGCTGGATATAAGTCCATAATCCACAATATTATAATGTCACAGGTCATACCCGGGAGTTTTTGGGAATCAATCTCCGACTGAAATGAAATGTCAACCATTTTACGCCGAGTTCTGACGCATGACTTGTGATGTAGAAATTTAATCCCACATATGTGGAATTCTCCTCCGATTTTTCATTTTTTTCCCCTTGTTTGGATGTATCATTTAAAAAAAATAATCTCTTTGGTCAAAAAAATTTAATGAAAATAAGCTTGCTATGTATGCTTCATGGTCATGTCTTTGTGGACTCAAGGTTTTAAAGTATTACCTTCAATCTTGCAGTCTCGGAGTGAATGCTCTGTTTCAGCGGGAACCGGCCACCCGGGTGAATGCTATTTAGCTGAAGCGCGCACAGATGGGTGTTTCATAATTAAAGGTAACCTTAGATATACTGATTGAATAGTACGAGTAGCTCTCTGGTCAAAAAAAGAATAGTACGAGTAGCTAAGATATTTTCATGCACATACGGAGCAGATCCGATTATTAAGTTTATTCGCTTGCGCCTTGGAACTTCGAGTGTTTAAAAAGAACAGGGAAAAATAAATGGAAGCCGATTGGCACCCTCACTGGTGATAGGGCGGTTTTCGTCGGTTCAGAAACCGGTCGCACTACCGACCCCTCCGTACGATGACTTCAGAAGTAGTTGCTGAGTGAGAATTTTTTGCCTTTAATGTAATTACAACATCGACCATTTAAAATTCATGCATTTAAGATTCTCTATTTGGGTAGCGTGAAATAATTAAAGTAGATTAACATTTGAAATTTTAAAGCCGTGGTAACAAAAAAATGTTTATGAATTTTGGATCATGTCTAGATCCATAATAATTTATATATATATTCAAATGACAGATTGTATACCAACCCTAACCTCACTAAACCAGATCCAATTCCGAATCACTAGCCACTATTATCGGCTGTTCCTTCGTGAAAACCATAGAAGCGGTCTATTTAATTGGTTTTTTCATGAAAAATTTAGTATAGCCATTGCTATTATTTTTTAATCCTAAATACTGCAGCCGGTCCTGTTTATAGGACTTCATTTATACTATATCCGATCCTAATTATAAGACCTAGTTGATTAATTTCAGAAGATTAAGAAAGTAAGTTAAGCTAGTTATTTGTAATAAATAAGTATTATCATTCCTAAAATATCCTTGCTAATTAAGTGTATTGGTTAGAACCATCATTATCAAAAGGACAATCTTGAAAAAAATACATAAATATGAGAGACAAAATGGATTAGGGTTTTATAATTAGGATCAAAATAAAAATCAAACAGAATTTTATATTAAGAAACGGGGGTAGTAGTTTATAAGAGAGGTTTTATAAATAAGATCAGAGATAATATAAGATCAAAAGTTTGATTGAAGTCCTACTCTGATCTCAAATATAAGACATCTTTTATAGTATAATTGTATTTTTCATATATATATATATATATATTCAGGGTTTGTTTAGAACAACTTATAAGTAGCTTATAAACTACTTTTTAATAGTGATTTATAAAATACGAGGTAAGTATATGAGAGAAGTTTTGTATCGACTTGTGTAAAATGTGCCTATGGGGGATTTCTACCGCTCTGCCAAACGGGGACGTTGCACGAAGTTAAGAAAATATGTTACATTATTCACCCACTTTTAATAATTTAATTAATTCATGAGAGCTTTAAGGCATATCAATATGTAATAATGCACAACAAGATTCATAATAAAAAATTATTAAAAAATTACCGTTACTGTGGCCTTTTTTTTGGCGAAATTTGTCTGGCTCGGCATTAAATTGAACATTGAAGGGATATAACTAGTACTTAAATTTGAAGTGGTATTGATTATTTGATTGATCCTCCCTGGCATATTAAGGATAAGGAGGGAAGGGAGTAGCTAACGCCCAACGCACTGGTCACGATGGCACAAAAACCCCTCAGGATGATCATATGCGTTCGAGCCTATGCGCGTGGGTCGGCCGGAATCGCGTGCGCGAAAATGTTGTGGGATAAAAAAAAGAAGAAAAGAAAAAGAGAAGAGCGGTCGCAGCATGTTGTTCCGAGGCACCGACAGGTACACACTCTCTGGGATCTTGTAAATTATAAGCTATAAATGATCAAATTATATCAACTAAAAACTTTGTTTAAATCAATTAAATATATATAAAAAATATTTTCGGAGAGTGAGTAGGAGAAAACGAATGAAAAGAATTAAAGAGAATCTGCTAAGAGAGAATAAATAAAATATAATTTTTGGACAGCGTATACTAATTATTATAAAGATAAAAAAAATAAAACTGTGGCATGCCTATAAAATAACAGGAAATATTTTTTATAAAAAAAAGGATAAGAGAGAGAAGAGAAGCACCGCACCAAACGTCAGTTGGGGGCTGCATTCAACTGAAGTTGGAATGTGGGGCGTGAAACCCACGCGACGCCTTCAGATTACATGGCAGACTGGGATCCCACTATGAAAAAACGAAGGAGGAATGAAATTATAATCAGGTCTCAAAATATTTTTTGAAAAAACATCGGGAACATATTTACGTCATGAAAAATGAAGAAAAATAAATATTGATTATGTATATAAATTTATATCTGTGGCGTGGTTATTGGATGCTGATGGTAACGGGATGCTGCTTTGCTCCCGGATTTTTTTTGTTTTTTTGGTGAATACTTTGGTCCCCGAACTTTATTCTCGTAATCATAACTCTTGCATTGCCTTGGAAGTGAGCGCCTTATAATTTATAAAAGCAATCACCCACTCACCGACAACGACTCCAGCGCTGAAATCAATTAGCAAGTGATTCTTTTGGGTTCGAAATAGTTTGGTCCTCTCATCTTATTTATACCATCGAGATATTTTTTATTCCTGTTTATAAATTATTTTGTTAAATTTTTATTATAGTACAGATAATTATATTTTTTTTAGAAGATGTATATATTAAATAGAGTAAAATTGAAAAATTATTATATTTTAATGAAGAAAGTTAATACAGTTTAAAGTTTTTTTAGCCTATTTGATACAGATTAAAAATGCCTTATAAATAGGATCAGTGGAGTATAAGTAAATTTTATGTAAATTGAGATAAAAGTTATTTTATATACTACCTCATTTTATAAATTATTATTAAAAATTTACTTATAAATAATTCTAAATATACTTTCAGTTTTTATCTCTCCTTTCTTTTATTTTCTTTTTAATATTGACCGCGTCCTAGCTTTACCAAAGAAGACAGCTCAGAATTACGCCTTCGTTTGATTCGGCATCCCACACAGAACATGCACA